AGATTTGATAGATGCCTCTTAGGCTAAGAACATTTCCTTCTATTTCTACTTGCAAAGAGTTTTTGTTAATTCTTTCTCTCAGCTTGTCATTTGCCTTTTAATTTTTTATGATTGTTTTTCATACATAGGTGTTCCATGTTAGGTAGTGAAAAATTGATTAATTGAATTAGCTATTGCATTTTTTTAAAAAGATTTTATTTATTTATTTGACAGAGAGAGACACAGCGAGAGAGGGAACACAAGCAGGGGGAGTGGGAGAGGGAGAAGCAGGCTCCCCGCGGAGCAGGGAGCCCGATGTGGGGCTCGATCCCAGGACCCCGGGATCATGACCTGAGCCGAAAGCAGTCGCTCAACCAACTGAGCCACCCAGGCACCCTAGCTATTGCATTTTAAGCCACTCTTTAAAAATAGTTTCCTATTCCAAAATTATATAAAATTCATCTACATTTATACTTTTAGCCCTTTGATAATTTGGGTGTGTTTTTTGCATTTAATTGTCTATCTGAAATTTCATTCATCTAAAGCTCTATTGGTAAACGGTGAAATATTTTATAAACATACACATCTTTTTCCTAAGCTAACAAGTTGATCATATCATTTATTTCCTTTAATAACTTATCATTGTAGTTGATAAATTAGTTTTTCCATTGTGAAAAAACTGAAATGTTCAAATGAAAGCTAGTTTTCAAGGATTAGTATACTTTTAATGCTTTACTGCATTTAAATCCTCATTATTGAAAAATGTTTACATCTGTATTCATAAGGAAAATTCATCAATTTTGTGAGCCATCTTAATCAATTTTGAAATCAAGGTTTGTGTTGTTTTTCTTTTAATCTAAAAGGAACAGGAAAGATTTACAAATGTTTGCATTATCTGGAAGATTTATACAGAAGAGCAATTATCTCTTGAAAAATTGAGAGTCTACTCATGTAACAATTTTGGTTTTATTTTGTCATTGTTCTTTGCTGCTTTTAGAGATAGTTTTTGGTAAACTCAAGTTTTGTTTATTTTTCCCCTCTATGGTATTAGTTTACTTAACAGTTCTATTATGTTACTTTGTTAATTTTTTGGTTTAATTTTTTTTTGGTTTAAAATAGATATGTATATATGAATATTGACAACATAATGCCAATATAAATTTGGTAATATAAATATTTACATTTTCTAAAATATCATCCATATTAATTATCCCTAGTTTTAATTATACCACTTGTATTGGTATTGGTATTCCTTTATAATTTAAACATGGGTTTTGCAAATGATATAACTTCTTTTCTGTATCAGTGGTTCTGTCTTTTCTCTAGTTTTATTTTGATTATCTAATTTTATTTGTATGCCTTTCTCTCTTCTATGGTTTGACAACTTTGTTTTTATTCCCTACACAAAAAACTAGTGCTTTGATTTTACTTATCAAATTATTTTTTCCTGCTTTCTACATGATTAATTTCTGGCTTCTTAATCTCTAACTTCTAATTACGTTTATACTACTGTTTTTATGATGATGTCTTGAGGCAAATAATTTATTTCAGTTCTTACATGTTCGATAATGAAAACAATTAATGCTATGAATTTGCCTCAGATTACTGCTTCTGTTCCAGGTCTTCAATTTTATATGAAATATTCATCATTATTATTGAAATAATCTGAACTTACAGTTTTAAATGAGCAACTCCTGCACATTTTTTAGGATGGAGAACTCAGTCCCCAAGTCCTGGATTTAGTATTTTGTTTTGTTTGTTGGGAGGAGGGAGTGTTACTTATATTTTTATTTTTGAATTTGAATATTACTGCATTTATCCATGATAAGGTGGCCTATACATAATGTGTGCATATGTAAGAAATCAATGAGATAGTCTTTGCATTTACAAGTTGTTAGTTCTTTTAATAAAATATACCAAGAACACTGAGAAAGAATACTTATTTCAATATTTTTCTATTATGCTCATGTTTTCAATTATAATATTAATATATTACCTATCACCTTTTACTATGTCATGTTTGGTCTGTAGAAAACGGAGAGGAATATTAAAATTTCCCAGTTTTGGAAGAGATGTTGGTCAAAGGATATAAAGTTACAATTGGGTAATATAGATAAGTCTAAAGATCTAAGGTACCTGGTGACTATAGTCATTAATACTGTATAAAATATTGAAAATTTGCTAAGAGAGTAGATCTTGGGCACACTTACCACACACACAAAATGGAAACTGTGTGAAGAGATGATATGCTGAGTAGCTTGATTATGGTAGTCATTTCAATATGTATATGTATATCAAATCATCATGTTTCATACCTCAAATACATACAATATATTTAAAAATTAAAAAAACAAAAAGTGTCCAAAAGTTTTGGACTAGTTGTCATGGGGAGCAGAGAATTAATAACAACAAAATCTCCCACTTTTATTGTGTCAATTTCCTATAGTATCACCAGAATTTTTTGCTAAGTAGTGTTATGAAAATAACATATACACACAGTAACAAAAGAAAATTAAAAGATGCCAATTAATTTAAAACATGTTAGTCTCCCTTCTGTTAAGGTACTTCCGTTAGCAGTTTCTTATATATTCTTCCAGAAGCATTCTGTGCATACTTTCTCCCCTCAGTAGAAATAGATAACTTTTTTAATAAAAAGAGATGCCTATATAAGGTATTTTGCACATATTTTTTTTTCTCATTTAACAACTGTAGATCATATCAACACATAAATATCTGCTTCATTTTTCAAAATAAAGTCTGAGTAGATTTTAATGTAAAAATGTACCATATTTCTTTAAAGCTAATTTATACTTTTGGGCAGGTAGGCTGCCTCTAGCTGTTTGTTATTATAAATATATTTTTGCAGTCAAAATCCTTGTGTGTACACTGGAGTCTACTGATGGGTCAAATTGCAGAACTGGAATAGTTGCATACCTTTAAAATTATGTGACATTGACAGATTATACTTCAAGTACTTATGACGATTAACTGACAACCAACAATGGGTAAGTTTGTTTCACATTTTTACTATCACTTGGTATTACTAAACCTTTAAATACTTGTGACCCTAGAACCACAGTTGATTATTATCTATCAGGGTTCTTTGGGTTGACTCAGCTCAGCTATGTGGTTGTTGATTGGATTCTCTCATGTGGTGGCAGTCAGATGACATCTGGCCTGGAGTCATCTGAAAGTCTAACTGGGTTGGACATCTAGGATGCCTCACATGGAGGCTCGTTCAAGGCTGTCCACCAGAGTGGACATTCCCATGTGGTTTGGGATTTTCTCAACATGAGGGCTGCTTTCCCAGAGGGGATGTTCCAAGAGCAGGTATCTCAAGAGCCAGGAAGCAGCCAGGTGAGTTAAGGGCTACACACTGGACATAGCACAGCATCACTTCCACCATATCCTATTGGTCAAAATAGTCCATGTACTTTCATTTTCAAATGAAGTCATCTTGGTAACTTTGAGTCAAAATTCATTCATTGATATTCATATACATATATAAATTCATTCATATATAATTTGTTCATATATATAATGAATTCATTCATTCATTTATTCATATATAAATAAAAGTAATCTTTTCCCCTTTTTCTCATTAATAGAAATAGAACTAGTGTTACTTATTTTTTTTCTCAGTCCTATTTTTTCTTTGGTTAATGACACTGTTTTTGAAAGTAATAAATTATATTTGCTTTACTTTTGTTCAGATTGTCTCCATTAGGTTAACCTTCACTCACCTTACTTTGCTCTCTGAATTTGAAATTAAATGTAGGTTAGTGCTGTTGCCTAACTTTCCAAATCATTTTTTGGAATGATTGAGGTGCCTTATATGATATCAGCAGACCTCTTAATTGAATGTCAGGGAAGGCAGTTCCTATTGGCACAGGGACCTCCAGCTTCATTGAGAAACATTCAATTAGATGGAAAACAGATGCTTATTTTTGTCTTATAAACCTCAATGCAGGTTACGTGGTAATTACTTTGAAGAGCAGGATAACAATTTATGTAATCAGCAGGACCCTATAATTACTAATGCATAATTTCTAAACAGCATTTAGCAAAATGAGGCCCATACATACACTTTGTAATGAAAAAGATGTGTTTGACACCACACTAAATTAAATTAAAAATTTGCATATTTTCTTCCAGGAAATGCACTAGCTTCATCTGCTTTATTTTGCTTCACTAATCCCTATCTACTTTTAGCTCTGTTATAGGATCATGGAAATGCTGAATCACAATGATGGCTGAATGGGAGCTTAAGAATGAGGAGTAGAGAAAGCCCTCCTTGTCTGCTGTCTAGGATTCTATAACAGGATTCTGAGAGATTATTTGGAAAGTGACATCTAGGCAACTTGTTTCCACAGATAGTTAACATGAAGGTCCTACCATCACTTAATTTAGAATGTAAGGGCTAGCAGAGAACTTAAAAAATTACCTCCACTTACCTAAGACCCAGTAAAATGATATGACTTTTGTCACATCAAGCAGTTGTCAATAGGAGTTAGAAAGTATTCACTCAGTTAGTCCCAGTTCTATGTGGAATCCCTTCCACGCTCCTGATCAAATCACACAGAGTTAATCTGAGACAAACCACATGCTGCATCAGCCCAGGGATGTGGGACATATCTGTAGTAAGTCGCCTGAAATTTTTATGTACACTGGCATTGCTAGTAGGGTTTTTTTTTAAAATTTTTTATTGTTATGTTAATCACCATACATTACATCATTAGTTTTTTTTTTTTTACATCATTAGTTTTTGATGTAGTGTTCCATGATTCATTGTTTGTGCATAACACCCAGCGCTCCATGCAGAACGTGCCCTCTTTAATACCCATCACCAGGCTAACCCATCCTAATCATAGTAGGTAGGAATTGTAGTGGTAGTAAATAGCAGTAGGAGTAGCTATGCCATCTTCTGAAGATAATTTAAGCTATACATATTAAGAAAGTTGAGTACTAGTTCATCTTTCTGAAAGGCCATGGATGACTTTGCACACCGTAATAAATCTTACCTGTAATTCCCGACATCATGTCAAAAGGATCACCAGTCTCTTCCTCAAAGCTCTGGACCTGAGACACCAAAATACATCAATCTCATTAGGAATGTTTTCATAATAAATTCACTTCATTTATTTAATCAACATATAATGAGTGCCTCCTGGCTAGTGCTAAGAGGATTAACCATGACTTCCGAACTCAAATAGCTTACAGTCAGCTGCAGGCTGGTGGCATGTACAAGGCACTCAGGATAAAAATTAAAGAACTAAAGGAGATCAGGAGAGAGAAATGAGGGAATCACTTCCGGGTGGGAGGAACAGAGACCCTGCCTGGAAGATGTAGCATTTGAGTGAAACTTAAATAATAATGTTATTATTATTCTAGATTTTTTCCTTTTTTTTTTCCCTAAAGAGCTTTAAATATATTTGGAGAGAGCAAGTTATTTTCCACGTTTAATTTTATCTCTCTAAGGGATTTATTTATGACTTGGTAAATTTATGGAGAGCAATTCAGAAAATTCACAATTTAGTTGCTGTACAGAGCTTAGATAGCTCAAAGAAAATTGGTTTTCCAAACTGATAGGGCAGAATTTATTTTTAAAATTCTTTTCAGAAATTAATAAATACTACTCTATTGAGAATAAAATTATGCATAAAACAAAATAATAAGTATTTCTTTACAAATAATAATATAGGTTACTATAGAAGCTGGATAAATAAAAAAGTAAAGAAGGTAAGAAAACAGTGACTGTTAATATTTTGGAGTGTGTTTTGCAGGTTTCCTTTTTAATATGTTTTTTCCTGAATATAGTTATGTAATCAAAATTTTTCACTCAAAACTTAGAAGGGGAAATCTTTTCCCACTTGTAAGATTTCTTTGAAAACACCATTTTTAATGACTTTACAATAGACCATATTTAGAAGGTACATTAATTTACTTAATGGTTCTCCTAATGGTGGAATGTTTTCTGAATTTTGCCAATAAAAGTAATAATGGTGAGATGAGTATCCTTGTACAGAAATCTTTTTCTACATGTCATATTATTTATTTGGACTGGTGTCTGAATAGTGAAAGCTGAATCAAAGGACATTTAAACATTGTGGTACATGTGGCCAAAGATGACCTTTAACTCAGGAATAGAGGACCACAAGGATATAGCTCAGCAATGTGAGAAGAACTATCTATTCCTTCTTTTTAATCCTTCATCTCTTTTCTTCAAAGAAGTTATTTTATACTTGTAATTAATTAGACATACTTCTTAACATTATTTTTATTGGTTTTATAACTCAAACCAGTGTTCAGCATATAAGTTTTTAAGTACAATAAGGAGATTCTTTCGCTCTGATTATTATCATAGGGAAAAGCCCATTTAGTGCGATGTAAAGTATGTATTCATCTGTTGAGAAATAACCCTCAAACAACAAAATCCCAACAATCTAAAATGAAAACCAGATGTATTCTTCGGTTAGTCCACCGGAGCCAAATTTATTAATAAATTTTTAAAAATTAAAAATAAAGAAATAGTTATTAACTTTGGAAATATCTCCCACCTAATCAGGATGCTGGTTGGCATTGTTTAATAACATGGGCAATATTCTCACACATGAGTTCTAGAGAGCAGGATCCCTGTATGGAAGTGGGAAGAAGATTAAAATGCTTTATTGTGGATATAAAGAAGCATCCTACCTTGACTTTACAATTGCAGATGCTTCATTAGTATTAAATTCTCAATATGTTTGGGAATTAAAAAAGAAAGGAACAGACTCAGTTTTACTAAGTAAAATTAAACACACAAAAAATCTATGCACAATTTTCTTGGAATCATAGTTTTGAAAAGTGAGCCAAATATTGCCAAATTCAGCCTTTAATAGGATGTTAGGGAAATCATCATAGATTGATCTGGAGGCAAATTTTGGCCAAACACAGTTGAAATTCTGATAGCTAGATATTTAAGGACATTGGCTCGTGTTTTAAATGCCATGAAAATCTGCCAATTTCACACATATTTTTCATTTCTTATAATTGGATTTTTAAATTTGCCATTAAAAAATGACTATTAAATCTGGCATTAGCTCCTGTTTAAGACGCAACCTACCCAAGCCTCATTTACTCATCCATTGGTATCGAGTGAAACAAATATTTTTCTCCCAGTCTATGATGAGGATGTAATATTTTTTAAGTATATATTTTAGAAAAACAAAATTCAAGTAGTGAGTTTCTTTTATATTGTTTTCGGGGCTCTCTCTGCCTTAGATATGCAGACAGCCTCTCACACACACAAATCTGGGCAAATATTAAAGGAACACCATAAACAAAGTTAGCTATGTAGTTCAACAGAATAGTCTGTTTCTCTATGGGTGCCACCCACAGACTAAATTAATATTATCAAATATTTTTCTCGTTGACTTACTCATTCATAAATATTTACTGAATACCTACTATGTGCCTAAAAACAGGTGAGTTTGTTTTCTTTTATTTTGGTATCTGAGTTTCTTCCTACCCCCACATATACTACCAGATAGCTTTTCCTTGAATAATTGTCATTTAAGAATATTTGATAGTGTGCCGTGCAAGAACGGACATTCTTTCCTCAGGCCTTTTTATGCTGAATATGATATTTATCTCTCTCTGTACTCTCACATATAGATGGCATCCAATGGACATTATTTTCCTCTAAGTCAGTCTAGCCTGAAGCATAAAAAACTTCGTAAGGGAACAGTAGCCCCTGTGGGGTGTGCCAACAGGCTGGAGATGGTGACATTTCTTGTTTGGACCGTAGGTGATATAGCAGACTGACAAATGGTTTGCAGATTTTCTTGATATTCGTTATAGAACTTTGAGTAGTAGCTTGGTAATCAAATAATCTTTGCAAGATTGAATTAAAAGAAAATAATTTTTCTTAGTGCCACCTCAGTTTATCTTCAAATCAGGGCACGAGACCAAAGGTCTGCTCTTTTCTCCATTTGTAATTTTTATTCATTTGAAAGCTACTGGTTTACATTCAGATTAATATTTTAAGGTTTTTTCAAAATACTTTAAGGTTCTTGAAATCATTTTGACATAAGACATGTACACATATAAGCATATATATACATAGATATTAGGAGTATTGACAGCTACAGATTTTGAGGCAACTGTTGTATCTTTGTGGGATGGGGAGGGCTACCAATAGGCATATTCGCCTACTTCCTCTTCTTCTTTTAGGGCTATGGGTAAGCCTTACTTTCTTCAAATTCCTTGGTCCTCTAGCCCCCAGCGGGTTCAGAACCTCTCTTCTTGCTCCCCAGAGATCCCAAACGTGTCTAGAGTGATATAAAAGTTTATCAGCAGAGCTGGCACTCTCCCTGCGTGTTACTGGTTTCTGGACCCATCTCTGCCAGGGCACAGAGGTTCCCGTGAGGGCGGAGTCTGCCCCCCAGAGCCCATCAGAGCGCCTAGCATGTCCAGGGCTCAAAGGAAAGGTGGGCCCACCTTCGGATTTGCATAAAAATACCCTGCCCCACTTCTGGATAATTTACATGATAAAGGGGAAAATTTTGCTCTTTTGTTCTTCCTTGTCATTATATTAAAGAAAAGAGAAATGTGTGAAAATGTGGGAAAATGTGGGTATGTTTTTTTTTTTTTTAAAGACTGAGGAGTGCATGGCGGGGGGCTGTCATCTAAATGAGGGTGAAAATTAGCATGAGTGAGGGAAGGTAAAGATGAAGAAGCACATTGAAAAATATGTGAATAAATATATATATACATATATATACATATTTGTTGTTTTGTTTGAACAAAAGCTCTTTAACTATTTGACTGACATTAGTCTTTCTCCCAGTCAGGAGAGAGAAGTGCATGGGCTTATGAGGGTCTGACCCTGGGTGGATGGGAAATGAAGGGTGTGGAGAGGAGAAAACAGGCAGTGTGAAGAGGCATGGAGAAAGGGTCTGTAAAAGTATAATCTTTTCCCTATCCCATGGCTCACGCCTGTGTTTAAGCAGCCACTGACGCGTGAACTTCAGTCAGCCCACAGGACCCATGCCAAGGGGTGCTGTGCCGCAGTGCAGTCCAGGGAGAGCCAGAAGTGGGAGAATTACCCCAACAAGTCAGCCTCAAGTGCATTCATACTTGCCCGGGGTCGGCTCACAGCGGCATAGAATGAGGCGGACAATCAACTGCATGGGCGCCGGAAGAAGGTGGGACCAGCCCCAGAAAGGTATACTGGCCTAGGGATGAGGCTGACGCGGAGAGCTCTGGGTACACAGAGTGGTGAATATATATGTGTGCAATGCAAGTGTGAGTATCGATAAATTCTAAAGCAAGCAAACAAATAAAATACTAGTCCTGTAAAATCAAAACCAAACCCAAGTCCCTAGTTCTTTATCCAAGGCCCTGCATGAGGCATCATGGCGGGAAATACTTCCAAGACACATCTCCTTGAGGACAAAACCTGGTCATCGGGGAGCTGACAGACCAGCGGGGGAGATGTCATCGACACACATGTACAGTCTCTGTCATATAAGCTCTCCCTGCCAAGGCTGTGAGAACCCAGAGTGGAAGTGGTGGGCAAGTTGCATTGAATGGCAAGTACTTGTTTCACCCTCCAAGGCGGTGAAACAAGGAAAGTGAGAAAGTGGATGGAAGCATGCTAGAATGGCCTTAAATGTCCTAGACTCCTGTTCCAGGAGTTTGGAACAATAAGATATAATGCTGAGGGGGTGAAAGATTAAGAGGTCAACTGAATGTAGGAGGCAGAAAATGCCTTGGGGAGGGTTGTTCCCTTGGAAGTTGAGCGTGTAGGTATAACACTGACCTCTTCCATTTCAAAGGAGTCTGGTGCTTCACTTGCGACACAAGACAAGCTCTTGTGCTTGCTAGTTTGAGTAGAGTTCACCTTTTGAGTTCTATCCTTGACTGACCTCTCAGACATACAGGAAAGAGGAGCCCTCTTGGCCAGTGTGGATGAGCAAGACCATTGCTTGCTCGGAAGACCTCGGGGAGAATGACAAGGTACCAAATCATCACAGGCTTGGAGAGATGAGTGCTCTGCCGAAGGAGACAAATGACTTTGGTCATGGTTGTTTGTCACAACTGGTAACTCTGCTCCACACTCTCCTGATTTTGCAGAGGTGATGAAAAACTTGCCCCTCATCTTCAATGACTCTGATGCTTTTGGGCTGCAGTCTCTCCTAATGCTCTGCTTTGAAGCTCTCTTGAAAAGTTCACCCATTTTTCTTTGATGTTCTTTGGCTTCATTCACTGAGGTTCTTTGCACATTTTCCCCTCTATCTTCCTCTTCAGCTTTGTTTGGCAGGATGTTAACATTATTCATCAAAGATGAGAAGGCATTGGCTACGTGGTCCAGGATCTCCAGCTGTCTGAAACGACCTGAACAATTCAAGGAGCACAGAATTTTTAGACTGCATCTTTTCCATGAAACTGCATGAATATGGTCAAAATGGAAAAGGTTGGTGACACATGTGTTTTCAAGATGGGAAGGACTACAAGCTCTTGAAACTCAAGTTTTTCTCAGTACATGCCACTGGTTATTATGGAGGTGATTCCCCAACAGAAGGAGATGCCATTGTGTCATGGGGAAGTGAACACCTTTTATACTTGGTTAAATATTCATGACTATATACATTCATATATGCCTGTAGTGTTTATGTGTGAATCCATAAAAACTATAGGCGAGGATGAATCTTAATTTAATCTTATATATTAAACTAAATGGTAAAGAGTGAACCTAGCTCTTTCATATGAGGTGAACTTGCATATTCTTCCATGGCTTTAGGTGGCAGATATCTTAATCATCACTTCCACCATCTCCACCTATACTGTCACCTAATAGTGTGCAAAGATTATGGAATATAGAGTCAGAAGGCCTGGATCCAAATCCCAGGTCAACCAATCCCTGGAAGGGTGATGTCATAGTAAATGAATTAATAGAAATATGGTGCCTAGGGCCTGTGCCAAGCACATAGGAAATGGTCAGTTTCCTCATCTGGAGAATGAGGGTAATAATACCCATCTTCTGTATCTCTCACACCTGTTGTGAAAAGCACAATGTTGTACAAATATCAGTAGTTAGAGTTATAAATGTGTAAGACTCAGGACGGAAATATATTGTCCTCAATCATCCAAGAGAAGACAGTCATTAATGTGAAAATCCATTTGCCTTTTCAAATGAACCAGCTCCTCAATTTGTAAGTCTTTCTGGATGGTTCATTTAGGCAATTCGCAAGTATTGACTTCATTAACGTATGGAAGGGACCTAGTGCAGCTAGGGCAATTTGGGGACACATTGCCACTTTGAAAGAAAATGGTGAAAAATAGTTTTGGTATCTCCAGATAATAAAACCAAAATGATGGAAACAGAACACTTTGTTTTCATTACACAGCCTTTTCTCAACCCCATTGATAGCATGCTGGGTTGCATAGCTCAGCAGTGGTCAAAGGCCACGTTGGTGGGTAAGGACACTGTCCTCTGTTCTGTTGTTTGCACCAGCACAGCAATGCTACTGACTTTCCCATGAGCATATCCTTGTGCCTACCTGCTCCCTTCACCAGAAAAGGGAAGATAGTGACTACCAATCCTTCTACTTTAAAAACTGTGATGGACTTTTCACAGAAGATCGTGATATTTTTTTAAGACCAAGAGGAACTCTTGGGTTCTGAATATTTTCAGAAGCGTTCTGATGACATTTTCCCCCTAAATTCAGCTTTTGTTGAAACTAAATCTTTTTTTTTTTTTGTGAGCCCAAGGGTATGACTAAATCATAATTGTACTTTTATGATTGTCTTAACATCCATCCTATCGCAGAATTGTTAGACTAAGATAAAAATCTATCCATTTAGCTTTGCCCAGTGGCAGTATCGTAGCCAATGAGGTTTATCCGAGGTGCGATTATTACTAATTGAAAAATCTATCCATTTAACTGGTTGAGTCAATTCAAAGAACACAATCTTGTGGTATTAGAGGAGTGGGAGTGTTTTCTTATTGTTTTGTTTTTTGTTTGTTTTTGCCTTTGGGGAGACTGAGCAATGAAGCAACTGATTCTCATCCCTTTAAGTTTGAAGCTTTTTTGGGCACCTGGGTGGCTCAGTTGGTTCAGCGACTGCTTTCGGCTCATGTCATGATCCCGGAGTCCTGGGATGGAGTCCAACATCGGGCTCCCGGCTCAGCGGGGAGCCTGCTTCTCCCTCTGACCCTCTCCCCTCTCATGCTGTTTCTCTCTCTCAAATAAATAAATAAATAAAATCTTTAAAAAAAAGTTTGAAGCTTTTTTTATGGACTTTGAATGAGACATACTTTCCCTTCTGTTTTTAGAACAACCAACTAATTTTATTATTGCTTGTTTTACATTTGATCATCTCAGTTTTTTTGAATCAGAAGTGTCCTGGTAAGTGTTGAGTGAGAACAGTTACTGTGCATTATTAGCACGGTGTTGATGGTGGAAATAAGAGTGAGGCACAATCACAGGACTAGGGGCCCATTTCCCGGGTCTTCTTTAATCCCTGTGTCAATTTCATCTGTAAAATGTTTACATCACAGCTCAGGTCAAACACTCCCCAAATAGTGAGAAGTGCTCTTATTTTCTCCAAAGAAAGAACTGATCAAAGACCTCACATTTCCCTATGTCAGGAGGAGACAACAAAGAATGATACTAATTTCCTCTAAAAGGTAAAGAGACATGGCATTGCAATATCTTCAGGGATACATACTCTTTTTTAAAAATTGCATTGTTGAGATTTTGAGACCCATTTCACTCACATGAAAATGGGGGAGAAACAGAGGCTAAAGTGAAAAACCTAAGATATTTGATTGAGAAAGACACTTTATCTCACTTGACTTTCATGAATTTATTTAAAGAACAAATTTCAGAAACAGAATTTTGGCATTTTTTCCAGTCCAGAATTCCGCAAACTCTATCCCATGGAGGAGATGTTCTTCAATGCTCCTCCAAGAGGGGTTTTGTATTTAAATGATTTTGAAAATGCTGTCCTGCATCCTCTCTAGGAGACCCAGAGTGTACTTCAGTATATTAAATCAAATTCTGAAGTACATAAACCTGTTTAACTCCCAGTCATCTTTCCCCCAAATTATTTGAGCATAGTACACATGCTCCAAGAACATCCTAGTAATGTCCTAGAGAAAAGTATTCCATTGAGCACCAGGTGGGGGAAAATAGCAGCATGCGTGATAACTAAGAGGGTAAGGCATAGTTAATCCACAAATCTGGAAATGTGACAGCTTAACACCTACCACTTACAGCTCATGGTGGAATAGGAAGTGTTCTAAGCCTCATACATGAGGAAATTAAGGTTTCACCTTGTGACTGGTGATAAGCTTTGCCAGATCCTGGTTCCTCTGCCTCCTGGGTATGTGGTTATGGTATACGTTAGTGCTGTTCACAGGTACTGCATTTTCTTTTTTCTGGACATACGGTAAGATTGCACATTCTCACCCCTTTGGAGTTAAGCATGGCCATGTGACTGATTTTGGCCAGTGAAATCTGACAATGAAATCAATGGGTAAATTCTGAGCCGAAAGAGGTAAGAGTCAAGTATGATTCTCCATTTCCACCTTTTCTCTGTCACTGCAACCAGTGACATTCCAGATGATGGGGCCAAGTCCATATAGGAGGACAACATGGAGCAGATCTTTCCCCCAAATGTACACATGAACCTGCAGCAGACACATAGAGTGATCAAGATGTACACATTTCTGTTCTAGGCCACCGCAATAGAGGGCTGATTGCTACTGCACACATCTTCCAGAGAGTCCCTCCTGATACTGTGGCTCATCTGGCCGCTCACCCCCATTGCTGAGATTCGGAAGCCATGCAGCCTTCACTTACCGTATAAGTCAGGGTTCTCAATGTCCATTCGCTGCTTTTGAGCTTCAAGAAAAACCCGGATGTTGATTCCTCTGGCGGCTGAGCCACAGCCCAGGAATCTGGCTGGGATTTGTGTACAGATGTCTGGCTCATCTGTACCAAACCCCAGATCCAAGAGAATCTCCACTGGATCTTCTTCCCAAAATTCCAGCCATTCAGGAATGCTGTGGTAAAAATATTAATATCTTTATCCAGTAACAGTTCACTTAACAAAATCTGTTTTTTTTTTTTTCTAGTCACCTTGCCTCCCCACCCCAATCTTTCAGAAATTGAGTGAAAGAAATCTAAATAGGCAAATAGATGGTGCATCTACCAGAGCTCATACATACTTACTTAAAGGATAGTCCATCACTCCCACTCAGGGACTGCTTGTCTGTACTTTCTGTGCAAGACCAGTGAGTTTATTTATCTGACTTTCCATTTCATAACAGGCAAATGTTAAGTTAGATGGGGCAGAGAGATTGTGGGTCAGAAGCCAGAAGTAATACACTGATAACCACAAAGAAATGGTAGTTCATGGCAATGTGAAAGAGAAGAAAAAAAGCAAAACCCTGTAAACAGTGGAACTCAAAAAAGAATGTTTTTAAAAAGAACCAGTCTGGAAGCATTGTCAGCTACACAGATCTGTTGATGGAAATCACTAAAGGCAGACTCCAAGGACTGATACTTACAAGTAATGATTTTCAGTCCCTAAGTAGGATTAAAATATGTTCTGTATTTTTTTTTTTTTTGGACGTGGGTGAGAAATAAGTGGTTTCTTTAAACTGTTTGACTCAGTTTTGGCACTTAAAATAATAAACTTTGGTTATCTGGAAATTATATTTATGTATACCAGCTACTTCCCAATTACTGCCCTTCTTGGTGACTGGTGCTATTGACTACTGCTTTTAAAACTCATGGACAGTGTGGGAAGCAGAACTTTTGATAAGGTTTTCCTAGGTTTGCTAGGCTCTTTTGTTCCAAGTTCCCGTTTGCCTCTACTTTCCATGCAACACTAAGGAGCTTATTTGAGATAGTTTGGATGATCTATTTTCATGACTTCATCATTTAAATTGGATTAATTACAATTCATTTATTTAGCCATTCACATATTTAACAACAGCCACCTGTAGTCTCCTTGGGCTGGCCCACTTACCACACATTACCCAACATCGCATTCACACTTTCTTATGTGACATAGAGATCTGGTGCTTTGCCTCCTGATTCGATCAAGGAAGAAAAGATAAGCCAAAAACTCTTACTGCAGGGCTTAAATGTCTCAGCTTGGATATCCTAATCATTGGAAATAACTGGAGACCAGGGGTACCAATCACTTGATACCTTTAAATAAAAAAATTTCAAGGGAGAAAAAAATTCTTGTGAGAAATCTAAATTGCACATGAAAGATTTAATCTGTGGTCGTATTGACCTCACTGTACAAATTTTTATCCTGCCCATTTATACAAATATTTATGGAACATCTGTCACGTTCCAGGCTCTCTGCTAGGCACCCATGGCACAAAAAGGACCAAGGACATAGTTCTGCCTTCCAGAGGTTCAGAATCTCATGTCCAAGAATGTATTTATTGATTGATTTGTCACTAAACATATTTTTAATACCATTAACTCTTATTTATATTTAATTATGCAAGAAATACCTAAAATACATTCACCTTGTTAAAAAATTATTATATTATACATAAAGCTCTCTTTCCTCTTAGCCATTACCCCCACCAATCCTGACTCCCTTCCTACTAAATTTATATGTATCCTTCTATATATTTTTCTGTTATATATATGCTTTCTAGTTGTAACTGGTTCGCTCTATAAATAGTAGCATACTCTATGTATCTTTCTGCATCTTGCTTTTTTCCCCTGAAAAATATGACTCGAAGATCATTCTAAGTTCATGTATATAGTTCTCTCTGCCTATTCCTTTTATCACTGTGTAGAATTCCATAAAATGTGTTGGCCAGTAGTTTGTTTGGCCATCTCCAAATTTAGTTCAACAGATATTTAGTTTGATTTCACTGACTCTTTTACATTGTTCTTGCAAGTTGGAGACTTGAAAATCCTTTATTTATTCTCTCATCCGTTCATTCAACAAGTTATTTCTCTAGTGCCTATTTATAATTTCATGAAATCCATTGTCACACCGAATGATTTCTCTGGATGACAAGTGCCTGGAAATCACATACCTTTGTGGTATACTTGCAGCAGAATGGCAAGAGTTGAAACTGGTCCCTCTGGAAAGGGTAAGAGTTTCTGAAAACAGATGCAGAGATCTACAGTCGGAGGAAAATACCAACGATGAGTTGTGTTGATTTAGATAGTCCCCTGGAAGATCATTGTGGATCTTTCCCTTCCAGAACAAACATTTCCATTTCCTCCTCATTTCTAATAATCCCATAATGGCCACACCTTTGAAAAAGAGAGAGCATGCAGTGGAGAAGCTGCTCCTCTTTTCAAGAGCGTTGTGTTACAGAAGGTGTGAGAATTTAAGTGTTAGGTGCCTGCTAGTGCTCATTATAAAGGTGACAGAATGTCTCACTTTTGACAGATGGCAAATCATTGGGGAACCTTTCAGGAACACAGCTCTGTTAAGCACCAACTTTCCAAAGAAGTTAAAATTGTGTGATGAAAGAGGTATGGCGAGCAGTCACTGAAGTGACTCTGTATTAATTCCCATAATGGTGAAGGATTCCATATCGCAGGGTTAACAATCTCCAAATGCTGTCTCCAGGGCTCCTGTGGCCATCCATGTGCAACAAGGAGTAACCGACTCCTCTACTACCACAAAAAAGAGTGTCACTCTATCCAAATAGGCCTGCATTGCAAGTCATTTGAAAGTACTTCCAAACAGAATGAAACCCTGTTGTAATATAGTTCAGCTTTATAGAGCTCAGTTATAGCATCAGTACATCTAGCCTCATCAGTCAGAACAACCAGTTGGCCCAAGATTGAAATTAATCAAAGAACACCATGTAGATATCAAGTTTCGCTAGGAGACCAAGTTATCTTGAATTTACCTTAGTCCTTGTCCCACATTTAGTCAGAATAGCTGGTCCTTGCCTCTTTGTTCAATTGCTTCTCTGCGTTAAGGTGGAAAAAGTGTATGTTTCTGAATAATAAAGACTCTGGTTTTAACAGACGGTTGAGTTTGCTGGGAGCCCCAGAGACGCAGAAGATATCCTTTTATTTATTGCCTCCCCTCAGTTTGTTTTAAGCCTGCCATATTTCTTTTTCATTCTGGGTTTGAGGATCACACCTTACTTTGTAATGTTTGGCAGAGCCACCCAGAAACTGCCCTGGCCTTGGATCCAGGAGAATCCCTGTATGTATAGTCATGGTTCTAACCAAGCCATGAGAGCAGGAGTGAGTCACTGACCTTGGCTTTCATTTTCCTCTTCAACAAAATGAGAAAGTTGCCTAAGACATTTCTGGGGTCCTTTAGAGCTCTCTGATTCCGTGAGCAGCAAAAATAGCTAATCTGCTAAAAGGGGAAAACTATGACAAAGTAGCGTTTTACTTGTGACTTGGTGGGAGTCAGAGGGAGACACTATTGAATATTTGGTTTTCAACGAGTTGAGATTATCTTGAAAATGCAAGGGTGGCTGAGGTATGGGAACAGAGTTCCCAACCTAAAAAGCTCACAGTCTATGCCAGTGGTTCTTTTTTTTTTTTTTAAAGATTTTATTTATTTATTTGAGAGAGAGAGAATCAGAGAGAGTACATGAGAGGGGGGAGGGTCAGAGGGAGAAGTAGACTCCCTGCAGAGCAGGGAGCCCGATGTGGGATTCGATCCAGGGACTCCAGGATCATGACCTGAGCCGAAGGCAGTCGCTTAACCAACTGAACCACCCAGGCGCCCGCCAGTGGTTCTTAAACCAGAGTGTTTCTCAGAATCATCTGAGGGGCTTGTAAAAACACAGATCTCTGAACCCTACCTCCAGATTTCCTGACTCCAAATGTCTGGGATGGGCCTCAAAAATTGGCAATGCTATTAAGTTCTGAGGTGATGCTGTTGCCACTGCTGGGCACTACCTTGAGACCTAGTCTACCCTCGTATTAGAGACTCTCGCTGCTTTCTACCTGTAACATTGGAAATCTTATGCATAGTTGACCCTTGAACAACATGGGGGCTAGGGGCACTGACCCCCGACACAGTCAAAAATCTACGTATAACTTTGGACTCCCCTAATACTTAACTACTAATAACCTACTGTTGACTGAAAACCTTACCGTAAGAGTCAATTAGCACATATTTTGTAGGTCATATATAGTATATTGTGTTATACAGTAAAGTAAGCTAGAGAAAAGAAAATGATATTAAGAAAATCAAAAGGAAAACACATTTATAGTACTGTATTGTACTTATAAAAAATCTGCCTAGTGAAATAAGTCAGTTGGAGAAGGACAAATACCATGTGATTTCACTCAGATGTGGATTGAAGACACAAAACAAATAAACAAACAAAGAAAAAAGAGATAAACATAAAGCCCCAGACTCTTAAATATAGAGAACAAACTGGTGGTTGCCAGAGGGGAAGTGGATGCTGGGATGGGTGAAATAGAATTAAGAGTACACTTATCTTGATGAGCACTGAGAAATGTATAGAACGGTTAAATTGTTACATTGTACACCTGAAACCAGCCCTGTATGGTAATTATACTTGAATTTTAAAAATGTCTGCATATAGGTGGACCCACACATTCAAAGCCATGTTGTTTAAAGGTCAACTGTATTATTGCCCAGTGAACAGCATGGCGATGAATAATATTGACAAGGTGAGAATACGAACGCAACTATTTTATGAACCGGTTCTTCCGAACCGTTGTGTTATAGTAAAATGCCTTTTATGCATATGTTTTAATTAAATTCTTTGCCCACACCCCACACCAGCATTTGTTGATTGAATTGGTTCACTCCTTTATGACGTTGAAAGAACCTCTATTTCTCTCAAGGCTCGTGAAAGCATTCTAGGTGCTGTGGCTAAACCAGTGACAAGATCCCAAGCTCCCCGGCAGTATTAAGGAGTCTCCTCACTTCCATTTCATTTATGAAAGATGTGGTTGTAAAATACTGGAGTGGAGCCATGTGGGTCCCGCCACCTACCTCATGTAGTCCTTCACTGTCATGTGCACCATTCCTTGTTCATGCAAAGAAACTGCAACAAAGAAAAGAGGAGATGAGCTTAATTTCCTTTAAGCACATAGAAGATTTTCTGGTCCTCAAATGAATGAAGAGGGGATTGATTTTCATATCTGAGATGGTATTGACATGAGGTACAAGGCATCTCTGTAGCGAACAAGACAGAATGTAATTAATGGCTAAATTGTGTGACAACCACTTGAAGAAATGTACTTGTTCAGTCAAGAGGGAAGTCGGTGGCAAAGGATGTAGTCAGCAAAGGTTTCACGGAGAAACCGGCACTTGTCTTAGATTTTTAAGAACGGGTAGAATTTGATGGATGGAAAAGAGGTGTGGCCAAGCGCGAAGAGTGTCTGTAGCAAGTCTGATGAGATCATAGGGCATTTTGGAATACTCACTCGTGGTCCACAAGGTGGAGGAGCAAGGGTGGGGACAGGCAAAAGAATACACGAAGGACCCTGCATTTGTGGACCATCTGCCATGCATTTGTATCTGCTAATCCTTATGACAGTCTTAAATTTAGGACCTATCCTGATTTTTCAGATGAGGAAACAGACTCACAGGAGTTGAGTAATGAGCCCGTGATCACATAGTCAAAAATAGCAGATCTAGGAATGTATCATTACCTCGATGACTGATTACAGCAATTACAGTTACTATTTACTTAGCATTAAGTTTACAGGAGGCAATGTGCTAAGCACGTTGCATGCACCACCCCTTTTAATTCATACAACAAATCTATGGAATAGGTATTACGAATCCCCCTTAACAGAGAGGCAAACTGAGACCAGCAGGAGGCCACAGCTTATTTTTATATTTGTTGCTGTTGTTTCTTTTCAAAACACCACACTGCCAACACAATGTCCTGTAGCTTATTTGAAAACCAGAAAGAAGAGTTTATAGGTATGTGTTGGGCCATGGATTTTGAGCAAACAAATAAATGTGAGAGAGATGATGCTGAAGGTCCATTTGCCTGGTTAGTGGTGCTGAGGACAGATGAGAAGAGCTAAATGTTGGGAGGCTCCTGAACGAGCCGTGGCCACCTGAAGGATCTGTGTGTCACGATGTAACGCTGCAGCAGGCGTCTGCAGAGAGAAACGTTCAGAACAGGGGCCAGTTCCTCCGGAAGTTCACCAGCCTTCTCATTTCCTCTCACAGTGGCTTTCCTGGGGGCGAATGTGTGACTTGTATAAAACTGGAAGACTCACCACCCAGCACTTCCATGAGAAAGTCAAGTTTCTCATCACAAGAAATATATGCAGGTGGGGAGAAATTTTGGAAAAACAAACCTAAATGATTGAAACATATTAAAAAAAAAGGGTTGAAAATAATAAAGGGCTCTTCAGCCCTTCAGAGTTCTTGTCTGGGTAGGAGACTACGAATAGATCTCTAGGTATCTGTGAACTTGCCTTCGAGTGCCAAATTTTGGGGTGGAGATTAGAATACGTGTAGTTTCCAGCTGTTTTTTCTTTCTTTTCTTTTTGAAGATTTTATTTATTTATTTGACAGAGAAAGTGAGAGAGCACAAGCAGGGGGAACAGCAGAGGGAGAGGGAGAAGCAGGTTCCCTGCCAAGCAAGGAGCCTGGTGCGGGGCTCGATCCCAGGACCCTGGAATCATGACCTGAGCCGAAGGCAGAGGCTCAACCATCTGAGCCACCCAGGCGCCCCACCAGCTGTTTTTTCAAAGTCTCAGTGACCCTGCTGAATGGGGCAGGAACACTGGTCTAGAAAGATGAAGCCTCGAAGCCTATCACTGAGGTGTGAGCATACGGTGAGTTCTTAACTAAGCCCAGAATACACAACTACAATTTTAAAAGGTAGCAAGAGTGTGGTTGCGATAAATATCTGCCCTACAAAAACAAATGGAACTCTGTCACACAAGAGTCATAGGGAGTGAAAAACATAAATCCATGATGTGCTTTTCCAGCACTGGGACCAAGCCATTTAGAGTCTCACAGGACAGTCTGAAATTATTATTCCTTGCCTGTTGGAGGGTTTGTTGGGTTTTAGTTTAGTTCAGTTGTTGTTGTTTTTTTCCACTTTGCTAATTTGTAAGATAAACTTCTTGGGCTTGTCAGGGTTAGGTCCTTGTTCCCTTTGCCCGTTTTCAGTAATGAACCTGAACCCAGAGGCACCAGCCAGTGGCCCAGTTCTCGCCAGCCCTGGGGTTCCTAGAATTTCCTTACAATTCAGAAGATACAGCAGCATTGGCCCAGATCTCTTCAGGGAGCAATGTGTCAGAGCCCATTGTGCTGCAAACCTCTGCAGTCTCCATCCTACTCACTTGGTTCATTAGCGGTTACCTGCCTGGCTCCCGGGAGCATTTGAGTCTGCTACTTCTGACCACAAGAATTTGACACTGAGGGAATGCCACCATGGGACAAACTGCTCCTGTTACCCTGCATTTACTCAAGCTTCTGTAGGCATCATGCTCCAGTCTGCCCCAGGCAGAAGGTGGTTCATCTATGGATGTTCCTGTATCCATCCCATGAGGCCCTGCCTGCTAGGATCTCCTTACGTCCTTCTCGCTTCTCTAGTGGCTTCGTCTTGCTATTTTCCCCAATCTATTTTTTCCTTCTAAGATACCCTTATTAGGCTTTTAAAACCAGATTTTACGCTTTAAAAGCAATGGTGGATTGAGGGAGGAAAAAAAATAATAAGGTCCTCCCATCCCTAAGGCTCATAAGGGGTGCTTTGGAAGAGAATTAAAGCAAGGAAAAAAGTTCTCTGCTGTACTCACTACATCCCATTGCATGGGTTAAAATGCCAGTTCTGACTCCCTTTTAGATACTTGAGTCTCCAACCGCCCTCCCTACTGTTAGGTGGACTTCTGCCATCTGAAGCAGCACCCACCGCACTTAACCCTGCAAAATGTATTACTGGAGAAGATGTAGCGAGATATGCAGAAGGCACTAATTAGCACCTTTATTGGCTTAGAAAGCATTTTTTATTTTGGTTTTCCTAAGCATTTCTGACTGATTCATGGAAGACATTTGGTTCTTTGGAATATCGTCCAATAGACTAATCAAATTACATTTTCACAGGGCTCTAAAATAATAGCATTCTGCAGCTTTCTGTATATTTAACTCCTGCGTGACCAGACTCGGAGTAGAAGCCGTCGGCAGGGCTTATTTGTCTCAGTTTGCACATGATAACAATCTATATTCTTACAAAATAAAAGATTTCTTCGTTCTCCCTGACACTCATGCTCAGAATCTTAAAGCCAGTTGTAATGCTCTGCTCTTCTCCACTCACATATCTGCTTATTTTCCGGATGCAGCGGACTCCTCCTCTCTCTTCCAGCGCTGAGCCCAAGCCCTCGTGACCTCAAGCCTGAGTTCACAACAGCATCTTCCCAAGGTGTGCACCATCTTCCTCTCGCCAGGAGAAACACTGGAATCTGTCATCTCTCTTCTTAGAAACCATTCATAACTCACTCTAATAGAGATGGCAAGTGTGTAACATGCCTGGTTCCATTCCCCAGCAATGCACCGATGGCCGCTATCACTAATTATTCATGACCTTCTGTTCAGGTGAACAAAGATACAGTCTCGCAATTCTCCTCAACACAAACCCCAGTTACAACTGCCTCTCCTTTGACTGGAACCTGAGATGATCTTCATACATCAAGTGCGATTGCCTCTTTCTGGATTTTAAGGCGTTTATAACCAGACAACACCCTATTTATGAGAAAAATTTCCACCTTTGTTCCCCAGCCTGAAACCATTTCTCTAGTCCGACCGCCTTCTATATGCTTTCTTGCACACATTTGGTTTTCTTTTCATTCTGTGCCTTTGTTCAAGCTCCTTGAACCAAGTGACATTGTCTTCCTTTGCCTCTTTGTTTTTTTTCAAACCCGTATCACTCTTTGACTAGCTCAAGTTGCTCTTCTTTGAAGATTTCCCAGTCTGACTTACATCAGCTTCATTATGGACCAGTTTTACTGAGATCTTTTGTTGACTAACTTTGGGGAAATCATATGTGTTAGAGATCATTCCTACCTCAGTGGGATTTACAATTTTGTTAGTGAGGCCGCTCATATCCCTAATAATTTGAGGCAGCATGGACCAAGTGCCATATGGGTAGAACCCATCATGGATGTAACTGGTGTGCGGAAGAAAACTTGAGGCTCTTAGGGCAGGTGTCAGGAAGGGCCTTATAGAGAATATGAGACCCAAGGCACAGCTCAAAAGAAGGCAAGAGGAGAACAGAACAGGAAAGACTTTAAGACAGGAGACATTAGATGAAGAAAGGTGAAGCGTCAGGATAGCAATGAAAGCGGATAAGACAAGAGGGTCTTGTGAAACATTGGCACAGATTGTATTCAGATTGCAACGGTCCTGGGAAGTCAGAATGACATAAGTGAGAGCAGGAGCCATGCACTCTATGTCTTTGTATTCTCCACTAGCACAGTGCTTTCTTTTCTTTTTTTTCTTTTCTTTTCTTTTTTTTTTTTTAGAGAGAGAGAGAGTGCAGAGGGAGAGATAATCCCAAGCAGGCTGCACGCCCAGTGGGAGCCCAATATGGGGCTCGATCTCACGACCCTGAGATCATGACCTGGGCTGAAATCAAGGTCGGATGCTCAACCGACTGAGCCACCCAGGAGCCCCTCTACTAGCACAGTTCTTTGCTCTGAATGCTTTTGTTTGATAAGCATTAAGGGAGCATCTATTATGTTTAACTGGATTTACATCGACCTCATCTTATAGGCCACAGATTTTAGAATTTGATCTTGTAAGTTCTTATTTAATAAATTCCTCTGGAAAGATGTAACTTTATCCTTCAAGGACCTCTCTGGGGATTGGAGAAGAAATATCTAAATATTAAAAGGACAAATGAATTAACCACCCCTCAAGTAATCAATGGCTCCAAGCTGATCTTTGACAAAAACTTTTTTTTTTTTGCTGTAGACATTGGATCTGGTTTTTTCCCCTCACAGTTATGCTTTGCTCTGTTATAAACAAGGGCACATTATATAAAGCTTTCCAGTGACACATGCATTCGTGTAGGTGTCTGTCCCAGCAGGGTAACTCCAATGCGCTCTCACAGGGCAATGGTGCAAAGTCTAATTTGTTCTTCAGTGGTGGGAATGGGCTTGTCGAGAACCAGCTCCTCTCCCCAGGCTTTCTTATATGGAATCTGGGATTAAGAAGAATCAGCAGCCTGAGAAGAACTAGCTCCTCTCCCCAGACTTTCTTAATATGGAATCTGGAATTAAGAAGAATCAGCAGCCTGAGAAGACAGACCTTCACATCCATGACCACATACCATTTAGCACCCCAATTGAGCCCAAAGAGGTTCTGACTGTCCTATTGTGTTTGTGGTTATGGAAGGTCCACGGATCCTCAGTGAGCACAAACTGAGAATCAAACTTGTGTTTGCTTATGATGTTGGTGACCACTATGAGGATCTGCACCAGTGGTGGTGGTTCTCAGAAAGGGAAAAGCTAAAGAAATTGAAGGATGCCCATAAGGGTCTTCCCTGTAAGTCACGCATGTGCCTTGAGCAGACAATGCTCTGGAGATATTTAGGATGACTGCCAGACCACTCAGCTAAGACGGCCAAATATTTGTCAGAAGGCAGGGCAGACAGTGAGAGGGCATCCTTTTTGAAAGCCGACCTTCATGTGGCTTTCCAGAGGAATTATATGATGTATCTTTTTTATTTTAAGATCCAGATATGGTCATTTTACATTTCCATAGACACTACTCAATTGACATAAAAATTAGTTCTACTCTAAAAAATTTCAGTTCTGGAGGACTGTGTCCTGGCTCTGAAGGCAGGTGCACCAGAACCAGATGACCTGGAGAGAGAAGCAAACGCCAGTGAACTCAGCCACGATGCTCACACTTTGACTTTTCTCGCAGGGGGATTGGTGCAGGGCTTGCTTTCCTCCTGGGGGCTCCCATGCATAACACATAGAGTAAATGATCCTGGGCCTTTGGAGTGGCAGTGTGGCTCCAGAGTCAGGATCTGAATTCAAATCTTGACCCCCTTACCTACTAAATGGGCTACTTTGGGCAAGTTACTTAACCTTTCTGAGTCTCATTTTCCTCCTTGCAAAAGTTAGTAATATTTGCCTTGGGAGATGGTTCGGGTAAGTGAGATAACATAGGTAAAGTACCTAGGCTGTGTGCCCTTTGTGTGTATTCATTTCTCCCCTCCCAGTTCTACTGATGAAGAGGCTGACATGCCAAGGGTGAAGGGCTTTATCTAGCATGATGGTACTGAGCACAATGGGAAATGGGCCAGCCAGATTCCAGTTTAATAAAAATGAGACTTTAGGTAGCCACAGAGCAGCATGAATGCCAAAGAGTCACCATAAAAGGCCAACACCCCATCTTGGCCATCTCTAAATTCAGAAGGAATTCAGCAATAGGACCCCTGAAGCCTTATGCCACCTCCCCCACCCCATTTTATCTGGGACTCAGTCCAAGACCGGGAGGCCCACTGGAATGCTTTCTATGGGAGGTACTGTGTCACCTGTAAGCTGAGCAGGCACTTGGATCTTGTTGCTACTTCATTGTATGAAGACCTCAGGAGTGACCAATGAGGGAATCTAGCCTTAGAATAAATTCTACTTGTAGTGGGTTGAATTTAATTTCTGTATCTGAAATCTCATTTTATTTTTTTAAAGACTTTTAAGGGTTTTATTTATTTATTTGAGAGAGAGAGAGAGAGTGAGCACAAGTGGGGTGAGGGGCAGAGGGAGAAGTAGACTCCCCTCCAAGCAGAGAGCCTGATGTGGGACTCGATCCTAGGACCCCGAGATCATGACCCGAGCTGAAGGCAGATGCTTAACTGACTGAGCCACCCAGGCGTCCCTGAAATCTCATTTTAGAATGCATCCTTTATTTAGAAATAGGGTTTTTGTAGATATAATTAGTAAAAGTGAGGTCATACTGGATTAGGATGGGTCCTATGTCCTTACAGAAAGAGAAAAGCTTTCCCTCCACAAGGAAAAGCGGTCATGTGGAGACAGAAGCAGAGAATGGAAGGCTGTCACCACAAGCCAAGGAATATTGAGAATTTCTGGGAGCCATCTACAGCTAGGAAGAGGCAAGGGAGGATTCTTCTCTAGACCCTTCAGAGAGAGAATGACCTTGTCGACACACCTTGAATTCAGATTTCCAGCCTCCAGAACCATGAGAGAATAAATTTCTGTTTGAACCCACCAAGTTTGTGGTAATTTGGTATAGCTGCCCTAGGAACGAATGCACCACTCTGCGTCATACCAAGATTGCACGAACTGTTCTGGGATTTTTCCCTCCAGTTGCGAACATTCTTCTCTCTCCTCTTCCATTTCTTTTCATCTTGCCACAGTTCTTCTCCTTGCCACCCTCACCATGACCTTCAGGTTACCAGTTGCTGGTCCTGTTCTAGCTTCCACATTTTTTCAGTATGACTCTTGGCTTCTCTGAACTCTGCATTTAGTGGTCTCATCGTGGCTATGACCAGTATGCAGAGGGCTGATGGGATGCTGGGCTTCAAGTTCCTCTGACCTCTTCTAACCAGCTGTGCCCCCAAACCACGGTGCTTGATCACTCTGTGGCCCAGATTCTTCACCTGCAAAGCTCAGATGAACACCAGCCTTGCTCCCACACAGGTTACTGAGTTTAAAATATGATAGATCATAAAGAGCCTTGTAAAAATGAAGGCTCAATTAAACTTCTAAGAGGCTATTCCATTATTATTAAAACCTTCGCTGAAGATAAAGGACCTGGCAAATGGGAACTGTGCATTTCTGATGTGCTAGCCCTTCTTTCCTCCAGCTTTGCACCTCCTGTCTGTGCCTTTACGCTTCACCTACTTGATTCAGAGGTGGAAGGGTCATGGTTGTCTCATTTCTGGGAAGTGAAGCTTTTAATAATACAGTTACTGACAACACCAGAGTTAGTGCCAGGCCTCCCACTATGCCCTGGGCAAGATGAAACATCAGGGGGATCTGACATCTCATGCCGGCTGTATTTCTTAAGTTCTTGCCTCTTCTTTTCTTTTTTCTTTTCTTTTCTTTTCTTTTTTTCTTTTCTTTCCTTTTCTTGTTTTTCTTTTCTTTCCTTTCTTTTTCCTTCCTTCCTTCCTTCCTTCCTTCTTTTCTTTCTTCCTTTGTCAAGATCTTATTTTTAAGTAATCTCTACACCCAGTGTGGGCCTAGAACTCACAACCCCAAGATCGAATCACATGCTCTACCAACTGAGCCAACCGGGCACCCCAAGTTCTTGCCTTTTCTTGATTCTGCCCTACTATAAACAGAGATAAACAGAGATACTTATATTCAGTTTATTGGCAAACATCTTCAGAGATTTGGGGATCATGGAACTTTTATATTTAAAAAAATAAATAAACTTGGAGGAGGAAATTTCAATGATATACCTAGTTTTTTGTTTTTGTTTTTAGTAAAAAAGTCCCCAATTTAAACTGGTTTGTAGCCAGTGGTCAATCTTAATTTAAGATGTCAGTGGAAGAAGTGAGATAATTAAGATCAACTGAGTAAGTAACCATTAGACGAATAGTTTTCCCCTCTAATCATTAAACTCCTAATTTACGTCATTTTTCTACGTACATTATTTATGGTATTTCATCAGTTTTAAAGCACACATTTTTTCGCATTTTAACATCTATGAAATCAGGAAGTGTCTTGTAGCCAATGTTGCCTTTCATTTATAATTGCCAGGGCTTGCTATTTTATTTTCCTGAGCAGTACTTAACACGTGAACGCATTTCCTTCCTTCCTTCCTTCCTTCCTTCCTTCCTTCCTTCCTTCCTTCCTTCCTTCCTTTTCTTCCTTTTCTTCCTTTTCTTCCTTCCTTCCTTCCTTCCTTCCTTCCTTTCTTTCCTTTCTTTCTTTCTTTCTTTCTTTCTTTCTTTCTTTCTTTCTTTCTTTCTTTCTTTCTTTCTTTCTTTCTTTCATTTTTAAGTAATCTCTACACCCAAGGTGGGGCTCAAACTCACAACCCCAAGATCAAACGTCACATTCTCCACCAACTGAGCCAGCCAGGGTGGGGTAGGGGGCTGTGTGAGTGCATTTTATAATCATTTTTCTATGAAGTACAGTATTTCATTTAAAGAAGGTGGGAACTATGAGATCTGCAATTAATTTCTTTTTCTTTTTATAATATTCTTGTCAAATCTCAGTGTAACAAGTGTGATACATTTTCTGCGTCAGAAATATATACTTGCACTGTTTCCCATAGAATTCAGTCATCTGTTCTTTTTGAGATCAAATGCACCATTAGAAAGGGAGGATGTAATTTTGAGACTGGAGAATAGAAAGAAACTAGATTTAGACATAAAAGTACCATAAGTGTGAGGAAACGTTAAACAATTGCATTTCCATAATTACATCCTTGCAAAATGTCTTCATAGAACCCGGTGAATTTTCTGGTAGAGTCTGAGCTAATGATGTGGCAGGAAACCTGGTTTACAGCCCCCACCTGCTGCTGAATGACCCCCTATCCTTTCTGAGCCTCTTTTTATATATCAAACAAGGCAATTGAGCTGGATAGTTTTTGAGATCTGTTCCATTTCTAGCAGGCTCTGATAATTCTCATTTTAAGATTTATTCACATAGACATTTTAACAAATTTAACAAATTTAACAAATCAAGGCCACAAAGCCTAAATGCTTTTGGTTCTCTTGTCTTACCAGTGTGGTCGATGACTTGATGAAAGTTTTCATCTACAGAGACCCTATAAAGAAACAAAAATATTGTGAGTCAAACAATGTGTACAACTCAATTATACTAAATTGCATTTTAATTAAACAGATGAGAGTAAATGCAGAGCTAGGCTTTATTATGGGAGGACTTTTTAAAAGCAATCAACAGCCAGGGACTGGAACAGTATTCTGTTGTATACTTTAAAATTGATATATAACTTTTGTAAAAATAGAGCATTCCTTCATGCATTCAGTTAAAATGAAAAACCCTACATGTCTCACCTTGCCCCAGAAGAGTTACCCACATTGTTTTCACAGAATTTTGCAAGAGAGTTGTGTAAAGGCACGAAGAAACACTTACAAGAATCCAGAGTCCAGCCACTGCTGAATACTTGCTTGTTTCGAATCTTCCATAAAAGAGAAAGAAACAGATCAGTCAATCAAAGCACACCAGCTCAAATAATGTTACCCCATTAGCCAGGCCCCACCCATAGCTCTATTTCCTACATAGTAAGTCACATGTTTCTACAAGCATATTCATTTATTTTCCCAAGGCAAAACGTCCTGCTTTCCATAATCATTCTTCCCTGAGAATGAAGTATAAACTTGGCAAATGATTGACACCAAAACAGAAAGAAAGAAAGAGAGAGAGAGAAAGAAAGAGAGAAAGAAAGAAAGAAAAGAAGAAAGAAAGAAAGAAAGAAAAAGAAAGAAAGAAAGAAAGAAAGAGAAAGAAAATGTGAAAAGGAAGAAAAATAAATCACTGAAGTACAAGAGATGTTAGAATAAATTTTAAATTACCTGGTGTGGACATGAAGAGTGAAAAAGCATACCAGACTTTTGTCTTTCTCTTGTTCGATATAGATCACCATGGACCCTCTCCTTATTGAATCACATTTACCTAAGGCAGCTAGCCAGTGATGTTTATTTGCAAGGAGTTCTCTGCCAGGTTCTTAACCAAATTTGCATTCATTCCAGGGACAAATTGTACTGGAGTTCCAGGATTGCCAAAGGCACCCTGTGTTAAGAAGGCACCAGTCTTTTAAGGTGGATCTTTGTCACTGGCTTTACAAATAGTTGACGGCAAAAAGGAGAGGATAGAAAAGCAGCATTTCCTGGTAAATACTTCTTTCCTTTCTGGTTGGCTACAGGCTACTCTGGGCTGATTTTCTTTGACTTTATCCCACCAAACAAGGAAGTACCTGACTTACCCCCTCACAAGGTGTCTGGTGAACCAGAAAGGCCAAGTAGGCATGCAAGGTGCTTATTTTTTAACTTAGGGACTCTAGAGAGGTAGGATGAGTTGGGTGGTGGGCAAAGAAGAAAAACCATCAGTTATATCACAGTGGAGGGAAAAGTGTTTTCCTCCTTATGACTCTTTAAACTATTCAAATTATTACGGATGCTTCGTGCAAGACCCAGTAAATAAGAGCCTTTCAATAGGATGTTTGGTGTTCTGAAGGAAGCCTCATGTCTCTGGCATGGACTCCATGTCACTTCAGGGTCCTGGGGGACTTGGGACGAGGAGACCTTGGAGTAGAAAGGGAGAAGTTGGTCTATTTCCATCAAGAAGGTGTGTATTTCGAATGTTTGTGGGGGGAAGTCAGAAGTGCCCATTTCGTAGAAGTTTCTGGCATTTTGCCAGGAACACTGGTATCTTCAAAACCAAGTGTTTGTTCCAGAATCATTTGCCCCCAGCCAAGCCCCCATGAACCTCACCACCCACAGCAGGATGTTTTCAAATAGCCCTGAGGGCCTGTTCTCACCCAGCATGGGGATGGTGACATTCTGACTTTCCTCTTCAGAGACAGGAGGCAGCTGCTCATCTAGGGGAGCCCAGGCCCTCTTGGTGGACCTCAGGATCTCTCTCCTGCTCTTTTCTTGGCCTCCTTGGGAGTTGCTGTTTCCATGAGACCTCTCCGCCATTGTGAGAGAGTAATTCGGCAAACTAAAACATGGAGACAAACAAATCAGACCCGATGAGTCTGCTTTCAGGCTTGACTCAGTGAGAAGGAGAAGACAGAGTGCTAACAGGCCGCCACAGTCTTCCGGAGCCTGGAGCGCCCACCCGAGCCAAGTTCTCTGTCTCAGTGAGGAGAAGTGGTTCCCTCTCAATGGAGAGGCAGCTGGAGACTGGAGACTAATGTGGCTTCACCTGTTGTCAGACCACATCTACCCTCTGGTGGATCCAATTGGGTAGTCTGTGATGTGCAGGGAGAACAAAGAAATTGTGGAGTGGGAGGGCACTCCAGCCAGGAAGAAAGATTGAAAGTATTGATTAACATAATCAGTATCCTTCAAATTTATCCAACAGTTACATCTGCAAAAATATTTTTAGAGAACCCAAAATGTAAAAAATAAGAACTTTGGCAACAGATCAACCTGGACAAGTCTCACCTCTGCAACTTGTTGGGTAGCCTTGCATATATTATATAATCTTCCTAACTTCTCTTATTTTTTAATTGGGTATAAACTGTTCTGAGTTTTACTAACTGTTGACCTCAGTGAGTACTTATGATGTGCTAGATTCTATGCTGAATTCTATACATCCATTATTTAATTGCCAACAAAGGAAGCAGTCTGATTGTCACAATTCTATTTTATTTATTTTTATTTTTCAAAGATTTTATTTATTTATTTATTTGACAGAGAAAGAGACAGCAAGAGAGGGAACACAAGCAAGGGGCATGGGAAAGGGAGAAGCAGGGTTTCTGCTGAGCAGAGAGCCCGATGCAGGGCTCGATCCCAGGACTCTGGGATCATGACCTGAGCCGAAGGCCGACGCTTAATGACTGAGCCACCCAGGTGCCCCTAATTGTCACAATTTTATAGTAAATTGAAGAGCAGAGGGTTTGCATACCTAAAGCCACGCATCAACTCAAACCCAGGCACTGGACTCCAAGCATATTCCCGTGATTATTAAGCTAGACCATCTAACCGAAAAGATGGTTGGGACAGTTAGAATATTAATAAATATATTATGCATATGGCACAAGAAATATTGACCACCCCCATTATCTCATTTAACCTTTGTTAATATCATTATGAGGCTTGCAGGGTAAGAGGAGGAGACAGAAGCTTAGAGCAGCTGAGTAAATTGTTGAAACTCCCCAGATTATCAGGACATTAAGAATGATGGTCTCCCTCTTACTCATCAATGTGTCTCCAGTATTTGAATTCCCAGCATAGGGTAGATGTTAAATAAATATATATAAAACTAAAGTAGCAAAGCTAGGGTTCAAAACCACACTTTCTGACTAAATTATTTCCATGGCCTACTTGAATTTGCATTCGTTTATTCTTCAAGTTTAGAGAAAGGACTAAATAGTCAAATACCTATTTCAGCAGCATAACTTGCATCCCTAAACTCCCATAATCACTGGTCACATGACTTAAACCATCATTTCTAATCAGTGTTTAATCAAGGCAAGTCATTCAGATTTATTGTAAAGATTTGAATATTTTCATTTAAACATAGGTGAGCATTCTTGCTGCAATTGGCAGTCAGAGTTCCCTTACATGCTTTATATGTTAAAATTCTATAATTCAACTGAAGTATAAATATACATTTATTGTTACAATAGTAAATTACTGCAAAAATCAATGACAATTGTGATGGCAATTTTATAATTAAAAAAACAAATACTAAGAAATTTCAATTATTTAAAAGTTATGCCAAAGGGTGGACAGTTAAAACAGTGAGGCTTTTAGTCAGCCAACTTTAGAAAGTTAATTTTTGGGGGGTGCCTGGGTGGCTCAGTCGGTTGAGCATCTGACTCTTGATTTAGGCTCAAATTGTATCTCGGCTCAAGTCAGGTCATGATCTCAGGGTTGTGGGATCAAACCCTGCTTTGGGCTCCAAGCTCAGCAGGGAGTCTGCATGAGATTCTCTCTCTCTCTCACTCTGCTTGCCCTCCCCTCCCCCCGCACGGGTTCTCTCTTTCTCTCTCTCAAATAAATAAACAAATCTTTTTTTAAAAAAAGAAAATTAACTTTCAGAATATCCTCTGGGAACAAATAAATATTAATAAAAATTTCGATACTGACACAAAACAAAAATAATACAGGTAAGATTAAATTTCTAAACTTTATAGGATTATTTGGTGTAGTAGAATTCGTAACACTAGATAAAATAAACTTTAGGAATTACATTTAATTTCTGGCTATTTAATTTTACACACGCTTTGGATCTTTTGAGTTAAAAAAGTCTTCTTTGGCAATGCCATGAATCTTGCATGTGTATTCAACTCTGACGGTGCAAAATTTCACAAGGAGGGAAAATCTCCAAAATCGTGCTCAACAAGATTCATGAAATATCAGACTCGGTAAGTACTGAGGGTTTGAAGAAAAGAATAATGTATTAGGGAAAAATAAGATACCCCCGAAGAGTCTTGCTCCTCCACCAACCTCGGCTGAGAGTGCCGTCCTATTTAGCACAAAAGATTCTGCTCTGTAGTGGAAGCAGGAGATAACAAGCAGCTGACATCCTCAAATTGGCGCTTCTGTACTACAATGTCCAATTTTAATGGAGCTACCACTTTTTTCAACTAGAACGCTGTAAAAATCATCAAAGTTTTAGATAAAAGTGCTGCTTTATTGGTCTATCCACAAACTTCTGTTCCAAAATGCCATGTTTGACCTCAGCCACCAGGCTTGCACAACCAGTGAGGATATCTCCCTGCCAGCTCAGTTGTAGTTGGCTTTAGAGCGGTAAAAAGCCTTCCAAGAAAAATGGGAACCCTTGCTAAAGGCGAGGGTCAGGGACCAGTTTGTCAAGAAAAACTCTTTTGTTCCCATCTGTTTAGTGGATGCCTTTCTGGTTAGTAAACAAATCTGCTTTGGATTCTTGGATGCTTGGGTGACCTTCCTTTGGCATCCACTGGCTTGACCTGAAGAGCAGTTCTTTGCAAAGGGACGCGGATCAGGTGGCAGCCCTGAATTGCCCAGGGGAACCACAGGGCAGAAGTTTTGGGATGTGGTCTCTGCAGAATCCTCCGATTAACCTCTTTATCCCCAGGACCATTTGGAGCCAAATTCTTGCCAATGCTGACATGGTCCAAAGTGAATCTTCATCCGAGATTATGTTGCCGTCTGTGCCTGAAGGTCCCTTCCCTGTCTTCAGATCCTTTCTATTCTAATTACAATGCCATTAATCCTTATGTGTATAAAGAACTTCCTTTGATGTGGGAAATTTCTTATATTATCATGTTTAATTTAAAAAGAGGATGAAAAAGAATATATGCACCAAGAACTCAATTTTGTAAAAACAAAACTGAAGCGAAGTGTATTGAGAAGACAAAAAAAAAAAAAAGGGAAATGTACTGAAATGTTATCAAGTTTTCAAATTTTTTAAAGTACTCAAAACGAGAAAGAAATTGGTGTTGTTACATTAATTTTACATGACATTTTCTTTCACTTGAGCAAATGCAACTATATATATGAAGCTGCCAGCCCACAGTGAAATCACAGAATTTGATACTTTGATACTTGAAGCAGTGACAATGGTTACATTCTTGTCCTCTGGGGTTACTTAACTTTTTTCACCTCTATGCAAACAGGTTCTCTTGCCAAACAGCTTGTTCATACTGGAGAGTAGGGACTGTGCATTATTTATCTCTGTGTTCCCCATAGATTCCAGCACAGAACTCTGCCCAGGGTACATAATCTGTAACTGTAAGTTGATTGCTTGGTTATTTGGTAAAGGGATACCAGCTGGTTTAGCCAGCATTCTTGGCTCTTACATGGTTAAAAGAGTAAGTGCTTTCAGGTCAGTTAACTCCAGGTTTTAATCTCAGCTCTGCTTCTTTTCTGACATCTCCTTGGGGAAATTTTCAAACACCTCTGATAATCTATTTCTTCATCTCTATAATGAGTATGAAATAATCACTTGATATGGCTGTTGAAAAAAATTAATGAAAAATGTCTATAAAATAATCGATACCCATATTAATCAGTTTTTTTTCCTTTTTCCTTCTTATGTTGCCTCTCTAGGCCCTTTTCATGTCAAGAACTGTCAAGTATAGGAAAAGAATAGGAAAAGAATTACCAATCAATGTAACAGTTTGGTTCTTTTTCCACAGGAGATAAATTTGACCCTCACAGTGTATGGATAACCTGTGTTATCTTGAGATTACATAGTTTGAATAATTGAGAAGATACAGTTGGAGAGTATAAGAATAAAATATTTCTGTGACCATGAGAATGCAGATTTACCTGAGACTAGAGACTCATATGAGAATTTGAAAATTCCTTCAACTATGGTCTTAATTTCAAGGTTATAATTGATAATTGTAGGCTGTAGTTCTAGCCTTGGCCCCACTTGTGAAGGAGACCTGTGGTCAAGAAGAGAACATCATAATGGGAAAAAAATTCCACAAGCATTCTTGGTCCACAGGAATCTCACCATCTCTATGTCTCTACAATGGATCCTCATCATCACTGCCTCTGCTCAAGCCTTCCGTTAAGATCTCAAATGGTATCCAGGCTTGCCTTGCTCCCCTCCACATGCCATATATAATGACTTCCCCCAGTAGAAAAAATTAGGAGAAGTCTACATAGAGTCATATGATTCAGGAATACCTGTCCCTTTCTGAGCTGTGATGTCACTCATAGAGGTTTAAAAAGGAAGCTTGAGGGGTGCCTGGGTGGCTCAGATGGTTAAGCATCTGCCTTCGGCTCGGGTCATGATCCCAGGGTCCTGGGATCGAGCCCTGCGTCGGGCTCCCTGCTCTGTGGGAAGCCTGCCTCTCCCTCTCCCTCTCCCACTCTCCCTGCTTGTGTTCCCTCTCTTGCTGTGTCTCTCTCTGTCAAATAAATAAAATCTTAAAAAAAAAAAAAAAAAGGAAGCCTTGAGAGCCTCTCATGCTCTCAAAAAGATGATTACCATGAGCCTCAATATCACTCACTTCCCTCCACAGACCAAGAGA